CACAAGAAGTAAACATAATGACCTAGAATAACTAAAGGACTGAACTAAAGTAAAACAGAAACAAGATTGATGTAATAAAAAAGAAAGAGACTAAGGAACACAGAATAATCAAACCTCGAAAACAACCCAGGACACAACACTTTACTGCTGGACCATTCCCCAGCAGTAACACCTCTCTCTGTCTGTCTGACCTCAGCGAGGCTCTGGAGAAGATGAGGGGTGTGTATGAGCAGAATCCACAGATGGGCGACCCCTCCAGTCTGGAGCCCCAAATCACACAAACAAGCCAGAACATCGGCCGCCTGAGGGGGGAACTGGCTAAATATGAGGTTATTACACAACGCGCAGATATGCATATGTACAACACACTGTGTGAGTTCAAACATTTGACCTGTCCATTCCTCCCAGACGTGGTTATCAGAGGCAGTGGGTGGAGAAGACTCTTCACACAATATCATCAACAATAACAGTCAGTCTGGGTAAGACCTGCATTTAAGGGATTCTTTAGGATCTGCAGTACTTTTGTTGTTGTTCAGTAAAGCGCCAGTTTTCTAAGTCAAATAAATTTTGTCAACCAAGCAGTATTTCACTTTTTTTATATTTCTCTCTCTTTTCACTTAAATTCTGTTGAACCTTGGTATCATCTTGTCCCATGTTGGGTTAAAAATGGAGAAACGGCCACAAAAACATATCTACTGCAGAAAAACAGTTAGTTTGAATCAAGTCACATATTTAGGAAATTTGTAAAGATCCATCAGTGGATTAATTACAACTTTCAAAGTCTGCAGCCAAAATATCTTTGGGAATCATTATTAGCTTTTGACTGTCAGATTCAGTTGTTCTTTTTCTTTTTGGCATTTTTTGAAGAACAATTCAACTATCAAAATGACAACAAACTATGTCTCTGTGACAGGCTGCTGGTCAAAGTGTCCTGAGTTTAAAAATGTTAGAACCTTTTTGTGGGATGCAAACTTTTAAGTACATTTGTGGTTTGACAAAAAAAAAAAGAAAAAATGTAAGAAAGTAAAGACTTTGGTTACGATCCTGGACACGTGGAAAAAATTATTTCACTTTCACCACAGTGAAACCCTTCAGGGTTTCATCTGGGTTTAAACAAAAATTTGATAGCTATACACAAATAATATTGCAAATGTTTTTAATATAACTATTCATGGCAAACATAATCTTCTCTCTCTTCCTATTTTCTGACTGATAACACAATAAAGGCTGTGACAAAAAAGGGAACATTTTGGTAATTTAAGTGCTTATCTTAATTAATCCTAGAAACAAAATAAATTATAAGGAGAGTTATTTTCTTTTTCATTTGTGACGCCTACCTTATAGGTCACTGTTATGAATTTGCAGAACTTTAATGAACAGGAAAACATCGTGTGAATCTCGTTTTGTTCTCCTCCAGCATAATAGCAACACAGAATTCGTCATCTAACGTCTACTCAGAGTTCGATGACGAATTTGATGACATCGAAAGTCCCCTTGGTCAATGCACTGCTCTCTACACTTTCACAGGTACATTTGTAATTTACCCATTGAGCTTCTGTCAAAATGAATTTGCTCTCCATGTTTCTATATCTGATGTGTTCTGGCATACAGGCAACAGCGAGGGCACCATTTCTATTACTGAGGGGGAGCTGTTGAGTGTCATGGAGGAGGATAAAGGAGATGGATGGATGAGAGTCCTCAGAGCCAGTGGACAGGAGGGCTACATACCAACATCATATGTCAAACTCACACCTTAGTTTAGTTCCATCCCAAAGTTTTTTCTGGAAGGTCAAATATCTGGTGATGAACACAAAGATATGGGAGATTAGTGCAGCTGTCCTCAACTTGTGTTCCATCGTTTCCAGAGATGGTTACAGTGAAATGAATATGAGTGGGTATTATTCACTTATATTGCAGTATAGTACACTCCAGATCTCTGCTCTTTGTGGCATGAAATTCTGCCTCAACATGCAGATTACCAGCCTGGTGTGGTCCTTATCAATTTAAGTGCATTTAAAACTTAAATGACAGATCTTGTGAATGTTTACCTTAATTTGTGTCACACTGATGATGTAAGAGCTGTTATATAAAACCTTATTAAAGTATTCATTCCATTTGAGCTTTCCATTTTTTGTCAGATTAAAACAACAAACCTCAAAGTGTTTCAGTAGGTCATTTTGCAGTAAACAAACACAAATGTTTTTGTATTTGTTTAAACAATGTTATGTTGCGATTTGAGGCTGAAAAGTGTGGCCTGCATTTGTAGTCAACCCTTTTTAGTCTGGGACTTTTAGAGTCCAGGTGGGTGTAATTTAATTCCATATATATATGAATGGCAACATCTGATGGCAAAGGGTGTATTAATCAGAGAAGCCATGGAGTTAATGGTATCTGGAAGAGCTGCAGACATTCACAGTTGAGGTCTTGACAGCTGTGGAAGAGAAGCACCAGAAAACTATTGAAGTCTGCAATGTGCCACATGACATAATGAAGAAACAGCAAACATGTAAAAGATGGTGTTGTATTCAGATGAGTCTAAATTGAAACATTTTTGGTAACTTTAGAAAACCCAATGAAAACATAAAAGTGACAGCATCATTCTGTGGAAATGCTTTTTTTCAGCATTGGCATGCAATGGGAAAAGAATGGAGCTGAATGCAGGACGAGTTTCTGCAGGTGTAGGTTGTAGCATCTTTAATCTTTGATCAAATATCATGGGACAGTCTTTGACCTTTAGTCTATAATAAAGAATTCATGTGTTAAAATGGCCTAGTCAAAGTCCCAACTTGAAACAAACTGAAAATCTGTTTGTTTTTCAGATTTTCTACTGTTGTATTTGAGTAAATTAAACAGTATTTACCGATATGCTCCTTTCAATGTAACTGAAAACTAGTTTACAAAAAAAAAATTAACAAAATTCCTTTATTTGCGATGCTGGCAGAGACACATCTGTTTATACTACAGGCTGTGATGGCAGGTTCTATGCCTCATGGTGTGAAACACAATGCATGCTACACACAAAAACATATCATAGTCCTTAAAGTTTACAATACTGTACAAAGGGATATCCACACTTATTTACTGACCAGCATTATAGTGTTGTATTTGTGTAGAGCAGTACTTGTACAGGAACACTTCCTTATTGACTTGGTCATTGGCAGTTGTATAACTTGCTGAACTTTATTTCTTTATTTTATTTAATTTTCTGTCAAACCAATTTCCTGACACAATAATGTGAGAATATGTCCTCAAACGTGCTTTTGTCTTTTAACTTGATGAAAACCACTAACCTGGCAGGAGTGAATAAAATAAATTTCTCTTTTAACAGCAACCATAGGAAGCAGGGTTCATATTTTTCACATCTCATGGATGTTCAAATAAATAAATACATGTCAATGCAGGTTTGAGACTCATAGATTGGATACAACTAATTATCTCCAGAAGACACATATTTAGTAGTTTGCAGCTGAGGGTGAGAGTATTATATATATATTATATATATATGAAATTTCTGCTGATTTTTAAATGTAGTCTTACCCCATTCATATCTCCTTGTGTTTCCATAGCAACTAAAACAAACAAGAACCTGAAAGATTTTGACATCATTATGTTGATGAGAATCTCTACGTTCTCATCAATGATGTCATAAATGTTCACAGAGTTACAAGAATTCTCAGTTTGCTTCTCAACTTGGTTGGAGGCAGATCGATTCCTGAGAGACGACTTCAAACTGATTCTACAAACCATTTTAGCTGAACATCAAGTCAAGAGGATTTTGATATTTATGGGACCTTGGATTTCTTATTTTGAAGGGAGTTGAAAAGTTGTTAGGATAAAACATAAGAGGCAACGACGGTTTAGTAGAGAACTCTGAGGACGAGAGATCAAAATACTTTGCTTTTGACACTGAAGACAAAAAGGACATGGAAGATTCCTCTAAGGATGAGAAAGATACTATCAAAACATGGAGAAAGAAGGAGACCATCTCTAGTTCAGCAAGTTTGATCATGATGAGTTTCATTTTATCTGTGCTGTAAACTAAGAGCTGTGACTTAGTTTGTGAATTACAATAACCTTCATCAGGTGAAAACTTCACATTTTGTCTGGTATTGCTTTGCTCACAGAAAAACCTTTTTTTACAATTTGCTTTAATTTCAGATATATTTGTGATTAGTGTAAATTTGACTCATAGCTTTAAATGTTTAACTAATTGGAGTGTTTTATGTTTTTTTTTAATAATGCAAATTACATTTTTACAAACATTGCTAGTTTGTATTGCATCTCAATAACTGAACCAAGCAACATAAAACATTGTCAACACTCTGCCTCTTAGCATGATTAACTCTGTTATGTTTCTAGTTTCTGTATTCACGTCCTCCAAGTCTAAGACAGACTAAAGAACATTGCAGAAGCTTTCAGCTCCATAATCTTGCAGGGTGATTTTCAAAGGTCATAAGTGTGGCTGAATAAAACCTATTTGTTTATTTAGAAAACCATTCAGTTTATTATTTACTCCGTAATAATCCACTATGTGTTTGACAATCACACAAAATTCCAATAATAACCGCTGAAGTTTATGCCTGTGACATTACACATTATAGAAAACGTTTAAGGCAATGTAGCTGAAAGAGCAAAAGTCTCAACTTCAAGAATACCTCAAATGTAATTCTTTACTTCACATTTACCTTTATTGTTAAACTCAGATGTCTAAAGGGTTATTTCAAAAACATAACTGGAAATCCACATGGACTTTGCAATAAATAAGTTGCATCTGCATGCAAGCCATTCCAAATGGAGGAAATGAAAGATTTAAGATTCATCTCCTCACTGGAACTATGAAGAGATTTTCTTTTTATTGAGTCATATCATGTTTAATCATTTGCTTTCTTGTGTAATATTTAACAAACATTACACAATCTTTAAAGAAATGCCCCTTGTATCAAAGTAAGGTGACAAACATGTCTTTTGTGTCTTTGCAGAAGCAGTCCTAAGAACTACTATTTTAAAGTAAAGCATTTTATTGAATTGTACATTCTGTAATTAAAAACATTATTTACAATAAAGTCCATAAAACAACCATTCAACGATGAATGGAACAAACAGCTCAGCAGGAAAATGTTGAAGTTGCTCAATTAAAACCTAAAGTAATAAAAAAGTTTTTGATAAATCTTTTTCATACTTCCTGTTAACGAAAAGAATACTCAAAATCTTTTCACAGTGAGAGAGTCTGCTCATAGATAAACTCCAGATAAAATTAAGTAGTCATCTGACAAACTTTACAGAGTCCTTCATCTCTGCTCCAATATTCTCCATTTCTGAACACAGCAAGGGTCACTGATGCGTTCCACTGATGAGGAGGTCCAGTTGCCAGCTTCCTTGTGGAGTAACTGGTTCAGGTTAAAGTGCCTGCTTGTTGTGGAGAGACTTCCACAGGTTCCAGTTTATCAGAGAGAACACAAAGGACCTTGTCAAACTTCTCATATCGCTCCTTTTTGTCTGCGGCCGCCCCCTGCTGCCCCCAGAACAATCGCAGGGCGAACTCAGTCCGGAAGGTCTCCAGCAGTTCCGGGACTGGAGTCCAGTCTGCTGGTGAAGAGGTACAGCAGACAAGAGATCAGAACTCACTTCACATTATATACCTTTTTTTTTTGAGCATGCAACATGTTGATCCTGTCCTGAAAAGGCCCTAATCAATAACCATATGCATAAACAGTTTCATATGTAGCATAAGACAGTTGTGATGAACAATTTCCCTATGAGTCACAAAACTCTTGCAGTTCAACCCAATGACTAAAGCTTAAAGATTCAGCCTGCGTTCATTTGAAGGAGTGCTGAGAGACATTACCTGAGCAGCAGCATCGTCTGTTCTCACCATAAATCCTCTACATTTACTTTCTGTTTCAGTTCTTAAATTAATCAGCTCTCATACTAATGTCATAAAGACAAACCTGTGAGCAGGGTCTGCGCATTTTTCTCGTATTCCTGGGCGTGTAACGCAGCACTGCGAGCTGATTGGAGGACATCATACAGCACTTGGCAGCCCCGCTCATTGTTTTCCACTGGATCCTCTCCCTCCATCAGCATGAGAAGAGGAACCAGGTGTGGCACAGCAATGGGACCCTGGACTACAGAATCTGCAGACAAACATGAACCCCATCAGTCACCAGCTAAACAAATGGGTAACAGTTGGATTTATTTTTCTCAATTCAGTTTGTTAACATAATGCCTATTAACAACTCACCTCAAGGACTATTAGAAAGTAAATTCAGTCAAAGCATACAGTTAACAGATCAATTACATTGCCTTATTACATTGTATGTTGACCACAGTTATTAAATATTATGTCATTTTCAAACTACTTGGAACTTGACAATAGATATGTTGTTGTCTACGATAACTTGCCACACATTTTGGTGGCCATCTAAGTTTAAAAATGTCTAATTATGTCAGTTTAAATAATTGCAGTGAATAAAAGAAAACCACTTATTGATTGCATTACCACTTCAACTTCAAACCATGCTGCATTGAGAGTTCCTCAGATGCTCCCAAGTATTTGGTTTGGTAGCTTTAAAAAGAACAGAGCTTCTAATAATTTCTTGAGTAGGTTTTTTAAACTTACTCAACCAATCAATAACTAATAATCGGTAATGATCACTGATTACCAACCATTAGGAACCTTGACCTGCCAATTTTGACTTTAACCGATACCAATTTTTTTGTCTGAAAGCCGCTAACCATAGCAGGATAGTTGCTGTGTGGGTAAAAGTATGGTGACTATTGTTAACGCCGAACATGCAGACGTGACAATCAGACAATCAAAACACTCACCATTTCCTTCATTCAATGAATTCATGAAAGGTCTGAGTTTCTTCTCATACAAAACTGCACACTCTGTGTGGTTCCTCCTGAGAGCTCGCCATGTCATCTCCAGCCGCACAATCTGGACACGAGAGCACAAACAAAGATGAGTGAAAGAAAATTTTAAGGATTTTAAGCCTTTTGGCAAGCTGCAGTACCTGAGTCATCTCCAGAGCTTTCATTACAGCTGAGAAGGAGAAAAGGTTGTACACATGTTCTTTCAGGGCCTGAGCCAACAGGATTACTTTGTGCAGAACCGTCGCTCTCTGGTTCACCGTTCCTGTGCAGCCCAGTATGTCTACTGCCACGCCAAACGTTATCAGATGATGCCTACAGAAAAGAATAGAAAATGAAGTGCAGGTGGTTGTCAGAATACTAAAACTAGAACTACTAAAACAGACTTCAGTGCAACTTGTTTTTATGGTATAATTCACAGAGCAATTGAAAAAAATATAAACAACATTTTTAAAGAAAATTTAACTAAAAACATTTAGAAGTTAACCAAGAAGTTGTCTGGGTCAGCTAATTTTCTGTTTTAAAGAACCACATGCATCACTGCTAAGTACCTTTCCAGCAAGTCCTGCCGTAACTGATGCCCATGTGGCAGAGTAACAAGCTCCAGTCCAGAATTCACTCCCATAATCCTCTTTTGCTCATCAGTCACACCAACAATGCGTGCTACCTGCATTAGAGGTTTTCACATTAAATGAGGACAACATGACTTCATTTGTTTAGTTGATTCATTTTAAATACATTTTGAACATTTTACAGATACAGCCATATGGATGATCTGGTAGGGTGCAATATTTTGGGTCTGTTTCCAAAATATGTATTTGGATATATCTTTTGTTGTGCCTCTCATCCTCATGAAAAAACAGGAAGAAAGAACAAATTATAAGGAGTAAATGGAGGCTAAGTGCAACATTCAACTGCCAGGTTAAAAATATTTCTGTAACACAAATTAGGATTTAATAATATACTTTTCTAAACTTTGCCAGACGATGTAGAAACCGCAAGTACCGTATTTTCCGGACTATAAGTCGCAGTTTTTTTTCATAGTATATCCGGGGGTGCGATTTATTCTCCGGAGCGACTTATGTGTGGAAATTAACACATTATATTGTAAGATATAATTTTCACACTAAACCGCAAGAGGGCGCTCCAGGCCTGTGCTATTCTTCGTTCGTTAGCGGTTGTTTACAAGCGACACCGAGGACGAAGTCTGGTAAACTTGTTAGCATGTTAGTAATGCCATAGTTATTTGAATAACTCTTAATATGTTATGCTAACTTACCAGGCACGTTCTCAGTTCGTTGTTCATGTGTCATGTAACGTTAACATACCGTACAATTATTCAGCCTGTTGTTGCCTCTATTTTATTTTTATTGCCTTTCAAGATGACATGTCTGTTATTGGTGTTTAATTTTATCAAATAAATTTTCCTCAAAAATGCGACTTATACTCCGGTTCGACTTATACATGTATTTTTCTTCTTTATTATGCATTTTATGGCTGGTACGACTTATACTCCGGAGCGACTTATAGTCCGGAAAATACGGTAATGAAAATAGATCAATTATTTCTAAATAAATCACAATAAGTCAAGGAATTCAGATGAATTTGTTAAAATGAGTGCAAACTAATGAGGAATGAAGTATATTTGGTGGTTCCTTTTAACTTGTAACTGTAAATGCTGCTGAATAAGATAGAAGTTGTCAAATATTTAGATATAACATTAAAGTGGACTAACATATGCTCATTACATAAACATAATGTAAACATAATACAAAGATTTGAAATGTTTACAGCTACCATCGCATAATGTAAGTTTCTACCTGACAGTCAACACTGAGCATGTGCAGAGCAAGAGTTTTGGTGTCTGATCTGCTGAAGAGCTCTTTGACAGCGAGCAAAACATTCGACTCCAAAGGCCTGTTGTGATCCGGCAAGAGCAGCGAGGTGAACTGGTCCAACTGGAAACAGGATGACGTCTCAATCTGCAGCACAGTCAGCAACAGGACAACTGTCACACCTTTAGTCTGAACTTATGGTGATGACTGAATAGCTAAAAGCTCCAAAATTAAGTTAAAACTTGAAATGAAATTATTCATTTTAACTGCACCAACTTTAATAGTGATCTTTTTAATTTAACATAAGCAGGTAGAAAGTTGAAGTGTACCAGGTAGTGGTTCATGACTGGAATCATGAACCACTGATTCAGTCATGAACTGAATCAGGTTGAAAATGGTCAGGTTGACAATTTTCAACCTTATCCAAACTGACAAGTAACCTCTGGTTCAAAAGAGCCAAAGCAGTTAGGGACAAGAATAACTGACCTTCTTTTGGCCATACCTAAGCTCTACCAAATTGTGCTAACAACATCACTCTTGATTGTGGATGCTGCAATTCAGAGAAAAAGTTTGCTATTTTCAGAATGAAGTATATAAAATGAAATTAAAGAACTGTCTTTCCTAATGCTTTTGGGGATGTGAGGCTGTAAGAACGAGGAAGAGCAAGACTTCAGCAGATAACAGAAAGGCTGGGTAGAGCACAGGAAAGATAATCTGATTTATTCTTTGTCATGGCTTTCCTTTGACATGGAAAACCAAAATAACAAAGGTGTGGATTCAGGAGTAGTCTTTGAGGGGCAAAACCAGAGACCAGAATCAGTCTAACTGATCATCTCAGAAAAGACCTAAGTAGTTAACTGATGATGTTCATTCATTGTGACTCGATTAACACCATCTAGAAGCAGAAGAAAATGCCCAAACCGAGGTGAGTCAATCTTGTTGGAATATACCCAATAAGATCTGGCAGTGATTACGACCTAAGTTACTACAACAAAATATTAAAGTATGAGTGTAAATTCATATGGAAGACTGGATTAATCAAAATTTGACAATAAAAACAGTAGTTTTTAGAAAAAAAATATTTCATTCAGGGAAATTGTGTTTATCCTTGAGAAAATTAACACTCAATGCTGCCTACAGCAACCAGGTGATGTAACAAAATGTGGAACAGTGAAGCAGGGTGAATAATTTCTTGGAGAACTGTATAGACTATTCATAATAATAATTGCTGGTACAGTCCATAAGTACATCTACTCAAGTTAGCTACAAATATAAAAACTAACAGTTAACTGAATGTTATTTATACAAACATGTGGTCGTTCAAAATGCCAGTCTCTCTCTTCCTCTGCTGCTTTCATCTGGAGCTTTTTCTGAAACAGCAGCTGTGAGGACGGTCCGTTGTTCTGGGCCTCCAAGAACCCAAAGGAAGTCTCTGTGAGGCGAGCTCGGCTCTGCCACTTCTCCTCCGCACGCAGCCGGTCCACATGGCCCTTCCTCTGAGACTGAGGGACCTGAACACAACAGGCCTTATACTCTCTGTGGAGGACTTACTGCTAGGAATAAAATAGTTTATTATTTTTACCCGTATGATGAGCTCACTGTAGTACGATGAGGGGTCTTCATCTGGGTCTGTGGAAGGAAGAGGCGAGGCGTTGGAGAAGACGGTGGAGACCCTGAGGGGTTTGGGAGGAGCTCTGGGATGCAGCTGCCCATCTGAACCTCGCAACGTTGCACCACCACCTGGAGGCAAGACAAGTGTACTTTATGTGGGCTCACTATATTTTCTTAGGGAAAATAGTTTATTAGTACCTGGATGGGAGGGGCGCGTATGATGTGGTCTTGGGCTCAGCAGGGGTTCGCTGCCTGTGCGAAATACAGGAGAAATGGGGTCGGAGTCTGTGTCGTCTGGTGGGATTGTCTCTGGAGCACCTGAATGAGAGCATAATAAGAAACCATTGAAACCAGGTACAGAATTTACGCTGTAGAAAAATACATGTTTTTTATCGTCTGGCATTAAATCAGGCTAAATCTGAAATTATTTCCCACCACTAAATGCTAAATAATGAATTTGTTACGACTAGATAAACTAAGATTATTGTGTTTAAACAATCAGATAAAATTTTGACATCTTCAGGCTTCCCCCAGTATATTATAAGTTGCCACCAGTGGGTGGCTCCGTGTCAGTCTATGTGTTCTTCAGGTGGCCGGTGCGTTAGTGGGTCGCTGGTTAACCCTATGGAGGAAATGTTGTGCTTGTCTTGTTGGCAAGCACAACATTTTCTGTTTTTTCCTGTTTTTTGTTTTATTCTGCAGCATCACATTGCTTCAAATGTAGTGACGCCAGTTCCACATTACATTTGATGAGGAGTTCAAAAAAAATAAAAATACATGTCGGTGTACCAGTTCGCAGATTGCTGTCAGACTGCGCAGACTGAAGTGAAGGCCTTCGTCCAACATTTTCCAAGTTAGCAGGCTGGCTTCCACTCCTGTCACACATAGTGTGGAGTGTTATTTCAACCTTGCTATTCAGTGCAAAGGTTTTCAACCACTCTTTAGTTTATTATGTTGCTAACAAGATGCCAAACCTTCTTTTCAAACTAATCTTTAATATAGTCCTTCAACAGGACTTTAACAGAAAACTGAGGAGTTTGGTAGAAACATTGATCAAACTGAAAAAAGTAAACAGTCACATTATTGAAAGTCTGACTCCTTGGAAGCAATATATAAACAGAGGAGATATGCTTTGCAACTGTTTGACAGTACTGCATGTAATATTTAGTACAGTAACACACTCATAGACCTTGTCCCAGACCTTAGCAGTGGATTGATGACCTGCAGCGTGTCCTGTTGGGAGTAGCTCAGGCTGCGCCTTTTGTTGCTCCCAGCTTGGTTTTCCCTCGCTCTGCCAATGGTGTTGCTGCTGCTGTTTTTAAGCTCCATGTGACCCTCACTGATGACACGCAGGGGAATGGTCCGATTGATCGGGTGGGAGATGATGGCCCCTGAAGTCTTTGAGATGGGTCGATTTCCGCCCACATAAAATCGGATCAGAGCGGGAACGTTGTCGAAGCGATCTTCCTCAAACTGGAACAACTCCCGGGAGTAACCCTGTCACAGGGAAGACTTGTGTATCAGCACAGTACTTGAACCAGACAGGAGCCCAAACAGGTGGAAACCCAGCAGTTGTTCTGAACCTGGACCAGAACACAGCATTAAAATGTCTCAAATCTATTTTGAAGCACAGCACTTCAAAAATGATGCATTTCTCAGTCTATCATGTGAAATTACTGTCAATCAATAGCTGCAGAGAGGTTCGTTCTGAGTGGATGGAGGCAGAAATTATTGACAAGGGGTGACTTGAGTAGTTTCAGGGTTTTTTGTTTCCTTTTTCTGTGATGGCTATTATTATAACCATCATTTCTACCAAATAACAGACATATCAAGTCATTATGTCACCCTGGATAACAAAATGCAATAATTCTGCAAAGAAATTCTGATTCAGAAACAAAACAGTCATTTGATATTTTTGGTCTCTTAATGTGGTCTTAATTATTAATGCCGTAGCAACAGTATTTTTAGAAAACATTTCAGGTGATTTCCATACTTGTACATGTACATGCATTTACAAACATGACTTATAATAAAATGTTTATAAAGCAAATATGATGATTGCAAATATTAATGTCATTTTATTTGATTAATATTTAATCTCATTATTACAAATCCACCATAAATAAATAAATAAAAGAAAAAAACAATCCCTTGAACCAGCGACATGTTTACATGAGCTTTCAGTCCAGCCAGTAATAAGGAAAAATGTAAAGTCTGTATAGAAACATTTAAAACCACAAATCATGTGGATATGTGACTGACAGCAGTGCATACACACACCTTTTTAGGCCGCAGAACTACTTTTATGATCTTAAAGTGGTGCGGACCATTCTTCCAGAAACAGCTTAGAACATAGTCTCCAGGAGTGGAGGATGAGTCTCGGACCAGGAAGTCCCCGTCCCTCTCGAACAGAGTCTCTGCAGCCTAGAGGAAATTCAGCAGTCATATTTAATAAATTAGAATACAATCCCAAATGAGACTCATTTATCAGATTAAAATTACTTTCTGAAAGAAATATCCTCAAGCAAGTATTAAACATAATTCTTATCAAGCTGACATTTCTGGTTTTAAAAATAGGTTTTTTATTGGTCTGATGTAATATTCTAAATTTAAATATTCTGTTTTAATCCACTTACATGTCATTGGATATGTAAGTGGAAAATCATCATAAATGACAAATGAAGGATTTCAAACATCCACCTGCATGTAACCAGTTTATATAATATATTTCATTTAGTGATAAAGTTCCTAAAATAAGCAGGCTTTTTAATAATATTCTAATTTATTGTACGAGTCTGTATATAATTACATTTTGTGTTGATGCTAGAATACAAATTATTTAAAAATCTGCTAATTAACCACCATGAATAACATAGCAGAAATTTAGTTCACCATTTTGGGACCTGCACTCAAGCTTAACCCCAGAATATTAGCACTGTAATAGCAGCAGCAATAATAAAGACCAGTAACACAAAGCATCAAAAATATAATACTACCATGTGAACAATTTTATAAAACAAGTTTTACTGTGAAGCCTCTGACTGAAGACTGTTGTTGCACACCAGTTCCATAAGGAAGATGTTGAAAACTGTCAATAATATTTTGATACCTGATAAAATACTTAGATAGATCTGGTTCCAGACCCATACCAAAGTTTTAATACAAATTTGAGGTTCTGATAATTGATCTTATTAAACTAATAGCAAAACGTTTCATTTGTGTGTGTGAAGCATAATATTATGGCATGTGCACCTCTCGTCTCAGCGATCCGTGGTACCAGGCATGGCTCCTCAGATCCTCAGTGCTCAGCTTCAGCTCCTCTTCAAGCTCCTTCTTCAGAATGTCCATCTCTTTCCGACCACCAAACATCTAGAAAACATAACAATTAAAACTATATCTACCTATCCACTTTTGTATAAAGTGGCTTTGAAGACCAACATATAGGGAGGAGGGAAAAGGGCAGAGACACAAAGAGGTTCTTTTCTTACCTTCAGGTGGCTGAAGTATGCACTAATACTCTTTCTCTTGCTGAAACAACAAAAGTGGAAAGGATGCAGGCTTACTGTACAGGCCAAATATTATGGTGCTGCATTTTCCTACTAGCCAAGGACAGAAGACCAAGGCCTGGATCTGTCATTAGTACCAGAAAAACCAACAGACTAACAGCATGCCTCATTTTTGTCCTTCCTTCCTCCCTTGAGGTTTCACCTTCCTCCCACAGAAAACACTTCCACCTCAACTTTACATCAGATAACAAAGAGATCAGATTAACTACAAACTAAAAATGGAAAACATTAACATTCCCTTTGAAAAACTAAATTCAGTTAATAAATGAAATTATTCAACCTTTGGTGTGTTCCATTTGTTTGTTTATATATATATATATACTTAAATATTTAATGACGTTTTAAATAAAGTTATAATATATTTACTTAATTAATGGGAGACTACACATATATTTCAAGGTATATTTATTGATAGAATTGTGTTATTCCTAATCTTCCATAGGAAACATAAAACATGTTACATGTTTCAGTTATTTTAAAAAGCATAGCTTGAAGTAGATACAAAGTCCATGTGTTCAATTTTTTTGATGTTTTTATGGTGAAACCAAGTTGTAAGGGGCGTTGGCCACAGGAGAACCACCACTACCAACACCTTTAATATGTGCTGAGAAACCACGTTGTGAAATCTAATGTGAGGTCACTAATGCACCACTTACACTGTGTTGCATCTTTGTAAAAAAAAAAAAAAAAAAGTAGAAGAAGAAGAACGCAATAAGGCCCCAAATACATTTAAATACCTGAAGAGTATCAGTAGAATTGCGCAACAGGTAGACTATTTATTGGAAAACCTGGGACAGTTACAGGAAGCAACAGCCTGTAAGTATAGAAACAGCTTGCTGACTTTTTTGGACTAAGCTATACAGCAAGAGCAACGCAAACAGCAGCGTATGTCTGAAGCTGTATATGTTCCTCAACCACACCGAGAACAAACTAGGTAAATTTACTGAAAATGATTCCGTGTCAAACTGCGGCGCGGCACTGACCAAAGCGGTGGTTCCTACCTGTAAGACCGCCTCACAACTCACTCCCCTCGGGCATGTTTCGCGGCTTGTGCTCCACGTTAACACCAACAACAACCAAATAACAGCTGGGGTTACATGTAATGTTCTGTCTTTTCTCTGCTCTGAGCCCCTGATTCTATCCTTCCTGCCCAGAGTCGACGAGTTAGCACAAGTTCCACCGAGCTCTCCTTCCTCTCTCCTCCTCCTCCTGTGTGCTGAAACACGGCAGTCTGTGTCAGGCATTCCTGAGATACCGACACATCACCTGGTCTCATTTAGCAGGACTACCTTGCCTTCCTGTCTGTTTTTAGGAGAGCAGCTGTACTACTGTGTTTCTCAGCTGATTTTGTCCCTCAACTTAAATGACCTACTTTTACCAGCAGACATCTCACTCCATGTCCGAAACAGTTAGAGGGTTTCACAGTCATTCCTCTCCAATGTTGCTTACATTTAGCTATGTAAGGTGGCATGAGGGTCTTGGAAGGTGCTGACAAATAAAAGGGATTTATGTTTGCTGTTACAATTTGCTAATATGTTTGTATTTGATGCTGGTGTGTTGCTCTGACTCATTTTAGTAAGCTCTGGATAATCTTACTACAAAGTTGCCTTGAGCTTTTTATTCCTTGGTGACTCAAGGCTTATTTTTAAATATGACATGAGGTCATAAAATTTCAGTGAAAAAGTTTGTTTTACACTAATTAGTGTAAGCAATTGCACTGCATGGGTGTTAATATGAACATCTTGCAGGCAAACAGGTAAAATGAAGTGAAATCAGACTTGAATAACACTTTTCAGGTTTGATGTTTTACAACAACATTAAACAGATGCCCATGTCAAACAAAAGCGTTACATTTGTAGGTCAATTCCACATAAACATTTTTATAGAGGGTTAGAGAAAGAATAAATATTCTATCTATGGTTTAAAATATTTTCATTGTGCTTTACTAATATTAACCAGCGTTTTAAATAACATCTTTTGGCGAAAATGTGTCCCATTTAATCATCCAATAATTAAAAGTTGCTTTTGAGATTTTTAAGCAGCAGTTTGATGAGTGAAGGCTTTTTACTTTACTTTGTTTGAATCTGCTTTAATGTATTTATTTGTTTGAACTAGAATGTCAATGGCAAATTTAATTACTTTAGTATCCAGTTTGTAATAGCCTGAACTTTAAAGCAAACATCAAAGACAGTCTTACAATCAAAATGCTTTAAAATAGTCTTAAGATTAAGGTGGTTAATTGTATTACTCATAAAACATGCATTTATCTTTGATGATTAAATCATAGTTAATGTTTCATAAACTGAGCAGCTCTTCACAGGCTTTTCAGATTTTCAGTAGATGGTTAGTTTTCTGATTGCAAAGTCTCCCAGCTTTTATGACAAACATGTTAATTATTATCCTGGTGTGAGTGGGCTGCATCCTAAAGTAGGACTCTTCAACTCCAATCCTAGGAGGCAGTGTCCTTTAACTTTTAGATTTGCCTGCATTAAATGTCTGAATCACCTCTTCAGTAAGCAGTCAAGCAGATGCATATGTAAAAGTTGCAGGATACTGGCCCTCAAGGACTGGAACTGCAGACCCCTGCCCATTTTCCTGTTTCTGACAGGCAAACACAGCAGGCTTAAGCTTACCTGCGTTTGCCCTCTTGACTGAGAGCACTGTCCTCATCTAGAGGGCGGAGCTGCGAGCAGGAGGCCGACAAACGGTGTTTCTTGTCAGTGCGATGGAGGCGGGGAAGAACATGCTGACGAAACAGATCCTTTGGCTGGTTCCAGAGCAAACAGTTGCAAGATGAAGATTCATTGTGCTCTATAATGTTTTAATTACTTATTCAACATTTTAATAATGAAAACACCATGTAAAGGTTTTTTTCTTTAATTAAATATCCCAATGGGGCAACTGACATAAAATTTCCACCAGATGTCTGCAACAACCCAAGTAATAGGCAGACTGCCTAAAATAGAAACAAATCAGTCCATCAGTTAAATTTAGTGAGATGAAGGGGAATAGTACAGGGAAAAAACAGCACTTGAAATTTGGAAGTGCTGTTTATTCCCTCTTATCTCCAGTTCTCTCTGTTGTTTTTCAATTTGATTCAAGAATGAGCCATTCTACCCATTTTACTTTTTTTAAAAACCAATTCAGCTTTCCTTTGATATGTCTTATGAACTATTCTCTTGGATGGAAATCCAAATTTGCATAATTTATAAAGCTTTTTTTTTTTTTTTGTATTTCAAAAAACTTTCCATAAGCCATCGGCTAATGTAAAACCACTTGATATTCATCTGCACATAAACTGGAATATTTTCCAAATACTGATACTGACAGATTTCAGATTTCTTGACATTTTTTTAAAGAGAATTGGCTAAAGTGGCCTTTAATTGAGGGTGAATTGACAAAAAAGTATGTTGTAAAAGACGGATGATGTGCCCAAAGTCAACAGGCTGGGACTTGAACCTGTGACGGCTGCATCAGGGCTGAGGTCTCTTGATGGGTTACAGTTTTATCTCTGCACCACCATTGCACCTTTCTTTCTCTTCCTTGTTTCCTTTTGTTCTTGTTTTCAATATTCCCTGTGTCATTCCAGTTGCTTCCACACAACTTCAGTCAAAGACTCTTTGCTCTCTATATGAATTATTTGGGTTGACATTGACATTTGTTTTGAATTTTCAGTGGCCCCATTAGAAAGATTTAAACTGAGAAAACTGTTTTCATCAATTTTTGATTTATGTTATTTTGCAAGTAATATAAATTACAACGTAATTATTGATTGATTTATCTATGTATTGATTAATTCATTTCTATAAACAATACATAAATCAATGTAAATATTAACTTTGGGTTTACTGAAGGCCTCACCAGGTCCGATGATGATCCCAGGGAATATTGTCGACTGACTTTGCGTTTCACAACCTGATAATCTGACAAGGAGAAATGCCATTAAGGTTTGAGCTCCTGGGACAGACACGCACATTTCTTAGAAGAGAAGAAGCATACCACAGTCATATCTGTCTGGTAGAAATGAACCTGTGAGATAAGAAAAAGAAACACCATGTTGATAGTGTGTTTGTACTGAGTTAAGGTGGATGTTTAATCTCCCTTTCTCGCTTACAAATTCAACTTGGCTGTATAGGATGCATAGAATATATGTTTATATAAATTTCTGCCATTAAATTGTTTGATGTGTTTACCTTGAGGGATTTTTTGAAGGAAACATCTAAACACCAAATAAGGTGGCCTGATAAACCAGCTTGTCATGCACAGCATAAACAATTTTAGTAACGACAGACATCTTCAAGTTAAAAAGTACAGAAAAAAGCTTTACACCTAAGGACTAAATCAAGCTTTCACGTTCTCAAGAATACAAGCAGCCTAATAAATAGATTTTCAGTTGTGGTAAATCAAAATTTCAATGAAAGCAAGCAATATTTACATGTTTTATGTACAGGCATTGCTATCCTTGAAACAGAATGTGCATGCATGCATTGTGTGTTTACTTTTGGTTTTGTTTTACTATGTTGCAAACTAAAAATGTCTCCTTCAATTTGTTGAATGCCTTGAACATGAGCTACTATGTGATTTTCATTTCACATAAGTAGTCAGATAAAATGTCAGATACAATGCTATAACATGATCAGATTGCTTTTATTTGAAGTGGGAAAATAACCACTATTTCTACTGCTACTATAACTGTAAGGTGTATTGATTGACTATATGGACAAACATGTCATCTGTAACATGTTTTTATTTGGATTATATAATGAAAATAAGGAATAAATGTTAGCTAAAGGTGGTATTAGTTGACAAATGCTTATTGTGCGTGTAACCCACATAAAGTGGGCATAGCCTTTTGGGAAATAGAGATTGGGTAGGCGGGGTAGTCTGCCTGGCCAATGGAAAGTTTGATTCCCATGAATGTTTAGACCAATCAGAGAGCGGAATGCCACAGAGGCTCCACCTTCTTTCCCGTGTTGGCAGCGTTGATTGTGAGCGGGAGATCCGACTCTGATCAGACAGCTGAGCCAGAGTGAGAGTCTTTTGGTTTCTTTCTAATATCATTTATTGACTTTGAAGGATTTTTTTTTTGTAAATAGTTATTGTTTAAATCCAACTTATAAGTTAGAAAGAGTGATAAGTTTCAGAAAACTGAACTTCAGTTTTTCTGCTGTTAGAACCACTAAGATCAGTTGGAACTGTTGCACTTTCTGGCAGTTGATTGGCAGTTGTTTTCAGTTCAACTGAAGGTAAAGCCTATATAATAATGTATTTTTATTTTACTTAATTCATTTTCTTTAAGTTAAAACTTAAAAAATATGCATTTTACACTGTCTAGTGCCCTCCGTGTCTGGAATGAGAGTCCCTGTCTAGTTGTTTTGAACGTGCCGCACTGAGATCGGTGAGCATATTTTGTACCTTTCATTTGGTTTTTGTTCTTTTATCTTGTTGTCAAATAATGATCTTTATTTGACCTACTTAGTTATTAAAACGTGAACCTTTGCTGAGTTTGTGTAAAATGTAATGTTTTATTATTGTTCTTGGAAAAGGATTTTTTGAACAGTTATGAAACATAATAAGCTAGAATGGTTTAATAATAATTCTATGTTTCTGCTGGTCTTGTCTGTTGACAGATCAGTTTTTTTTTTTTTTGTTGTGTTGTTTTTGTTTTTTTGCTTTTTCTTCTCTTCTCCTGGATTGTTCCTGGAGTGGATTCCCCTACTGACTTTGATGGCGAGCCTTCCCACCTGGACTTAGAAAGATCTGGATTTCCTCCCATGTTGAGTGAGACCTGAACCAGGATTTAATTTGATTCAATTGTCATCTAAAAGAGATTAGAGCGCAAACTACCAGGGTGCACCCAATAGATTTAAATTTGATATTTAGCACTTGGCCAAGTATTGTTGTTTTTATTTCATGTATTTTATTGTGTGTAATTTTATTTTCTTAATTGTATGTCTTGTCCACTTGTGAGTTTATGATTCATGTTACTAAAGCTAATTGTTTTTTAAATTCACTCAACTGTGTATGTGTGTCATTTAAACACCCATCGTGCTCCGACAGCCGAACCTATTGGCCCATCTACCTAAAACATATTGTACCCTTCTCAACTGTGTTACATGCAGAATATTAAAAGCAGCTGTCAGTTGTGCTGAAGCCTGCCAACTTTAGTTTTAAAACAGCATCACCTTAAAACAAGAGACTGATTTAAGATGCTCCCTTTCACAACATGACAGTGTGTGCCTTTTCTTTTACTTTGGCAAAATAATAACAAGCAGAGAAAGTGACTGATTTTGAAAGGAATGGAATTTCAGCGCAAGTTAAAAAACTATGGACGACAATTAAATCTTTGATAAATCTTCTGTACAAACCTTTATCTTGTTCTGTCATACTGACTGAACCCAGAATAGCTTTAAAGTGTATGATTGTAATGTGACAGAACATAGAAGCAGTTTTTGGCAACAATAATCAGAAACTCAATTTTGCAAAACAGAAAGATTTCATTTTCAGTATTTGAACTGTAGGAGTTTTACTTTATCATTATTATTATTATTATTATTATTATTATTATTTGTTTTTGTTGGATATGATTTCTTTTAGCTTCATGTGAACTGTAATATTACATAAAGCAAACCAATATTAAGTGTGTTCTGTA